TGTAAAGTTAATCATCCTTTTAAAAGTTTATCCCAGAAAAATTAAAATAGATAAGTGATTAAAAATGAACAACCTTTTCCCTGCATAATTTGCTTTGTATTTGTGACTTTCTCTCTCACTTTTCTTGTTTTCAATCTTTCTGGAGAAAAAGTGGCTCAGGACTTCCTCTGACAAGCGGGTGTGAGCATTACATGTTAGGGACCTCCTCTTACCGCTGATGTAGTGAGACATCCCATGTGTTGCAAACAAGTCTGACTTTAATTTGACCTCTATTAGTCACCAGTTCCAAATCCCATATTAGCAGATGGAGAGGACCACCTGAAAGCTGTCAATACTTGAGAAAACAGCTAAACACGTCTAAGGGGTATATGGTAGTGAATGCTGAAGTGTTCTTATACCAAAATGTGTTTCTGGTATTTCATTCCTCAGTTCTATTTATTATTCTAATTGTTACATCAAACCCTCATCTCTGGCCTTTCTGTTTTTCAAATGCACTGTGCATGTATCCCTCCTATTGGTCTTTGGGAGGGATACCCTCTCCACATCTATGGAAACTGATTTATACTCCCAAGGCCAGTGTGTGCCAGCCTTACTCACTCCTTATGCCACAACTAGTTCCATCAATTTCAATGGGACAAATTGAAGAATTACGCCCTGATTCTGGAAAGTATCTCTAGCCAGGAAAGCACTTAAGGGCATGCTTAACTTTAAGCAAGTGCCTAACTCAAGAATTGTCCTGGATATGGCTGAACTTAAACACACAGGCTACGTCTACACTGGCCCCTTTTCCGGAAGGGGCATGTAAATTTCACTAGTCGTCGTAGGGAAATCCACGGGGGATTTAAATATCCCCCGCGGCATTTAAATAAAAATGTCCGCCGCTTTTTTCCGGCTTTTGAATAAGACCCTCCGGAAAAGGGCACTTTTTCCGGAGGATCGGGGCCAGTGTAGACGCTCTTTTCCGGCTTTTTTAAAAGCCGGAAAAAAGCGGCGGACATTTTTATTTAAATGCCGCGGGGGATATTTAAATCCCCCGCGGATTTCCCTACGACGACTAGTGAAATTTACATGCCCCTTCCGGAAAAGGGGCCAGTGTAGACGTAGCCACAATGAAGTGTTTTCCTGATTCAGAAGTGACAAAGTAAAGATGACCTAAGTGGGGTTTCATTATAAAGTAGTTGCTGCAGCTCCATTTTCTATGTCCTTCCAATATTCTTATCCAGAAGCTTTTATGAAAAGCCCTTTAGAGTTTCAGGTTCCAGTTATACTGCCAGGTAGAGAAAAATCTATGTAATCTCCACAGAATAGTAAGAAGCACTACCTTTCATGTCCTTATATGGACATTATGCTTGATATTTGCAGCATTGTTGAAGATGTGTGAAACCCAGGGTATTAGAGTGAGAAGGCACATGAGGCGATATTTTGTATTGGACCAGCTTCTGTTGGTAAGACCAGCTTTCTTATAGGCTGTGTAGATGTACCCATTGATTTTAATGGTGCATGATTAGGCACGTGGACCCTTCATATATATTTAGGCTCGTAACTACCATTGCCGCTATTCCGAAACGTCCCTTAATCCTTGTGGAATGAGGTTTACAGGGATGTCAGAATAGCAAACCCGTTATATTTTGAAATAACGGGCTTGCTTAAAAGATGCAGAATAGCTATTTTGGGATACCAGAAGTATCCTGAAAAAGCGCCGCTGTCTAGATGAACCCTTAGTGATCTAAACCCCACTGAAGTCAAAGATCCTCTGGCTTCAGTAGGCTCTGGCTGAAGCTCTTAATGACCTTAGTAATGTATAGATCTTTTTATAGAGCTAATCTTGTTCTCTTTGAAGTCAACGGAAAACCCCAATTGACTTCAATGGGAGCAGGGCTGGAATTTCTGTTTAATTCATTCAAAACAAAGGGCTAAATCTGGACACCTTTGAACACAGTCTTCTTTGGGCAGACCTCCCTTTGAAGTTAATGGTAGTGTGCAGGATTTAGGCCTAAGGGCACAATTTAGAAAGTGGTGATATTAAAGAAGTCACTGGAAAAAATAAAGTGATCTCCAAAGTTAACTCTGGCATTTAACTATCACAATATTTTTGCCCCCAAAAGCCTGTTTTACCAACGGTGTGACATCCATGTAAAACTGGAATAACACATTCCTGAGTCAGGTCTTTGTCTTCTCTAATGGTTATTGGAGTTGTGCTCAAAGTGCAATTCAGAAAAATCACATTCAGAGCGTAACTAAGGATGTGGCTAAGAGTTACATAGGAGACCAGACCACGCTCATAATAGTTCCCGGTGGCCTTAGAGTCTCTGATAGCAATAGCCAATTCTGGATGGTGCTATGCTGTTTGACTCAGCTCTCTTTTTTGACCCCAGACATGTAAAAATGTGAGTTTCCTGTAAGATCCTTGGCAAAATGTTTAAAGCTGGGTGGAGATTTTTTGGCTCGCCTCTCTCTGTGTATATTCAAACCGATAAAGATCAGGTCTACTGGGCAAAACATCAAGAGTCCACATGCTAAAGCTTGAGAACAGTCCTTAAACAGCTTTTTTTCCAGACTCTCACAGAGAGTCAGTCAGTTACATGTCTTTAATTGTGAAGCTGGAGTTTAGTGAACTCTTTTTTCCCCTTTTATACCTATAAAGTCACATATTTAGATCAAAATATGCATTGTTTTTAATGAAATAAATAAAACTGTTGTTTTAGAAACTCACTTTGTGATCTTGTGAAAATATTTGGAGGGGAAATTAGATATATTTCATCAGAAGAGAGAATTAATATGACACGACTGGTACTGTAACAAGTTAAGTAACTGCTTCAGTACCATTTGATTTCAATGGCATATTTGATCTGATGACTAATCTGAACACAATTTGGCCCCTGCTTACTAACAGGAGTATTCTGGCATGGGCCAGAGAACAGATGGATGCAAAATGAATAAACATGCTAACTATAAGAGTCATTAGGGGGAGAAATTCAGACCAGGTATAAGTGACAGAATAATATGTTTTCACTTCAGGAGTTAGAGAATCTGTTTACATGAAAGATGAATAAGCACATGGACCACAAATTCTGATTTTGCTAATCTAGATGAGATTGCTTACAGAATTTATTCTATACATTTGTTTCTAATGTGCCTATTTGGCATTCACAGTCATGTTCTATAACACTTATCTAAGACTCCTGTCATGGAAAGCCCTGTCATGGAAAGCCCTGTCATGGAAAGCTTTTGGAGGGATCTGTGCAACATTTCAAACATGTCAGAATAGGAACTATCAATTTACAATCAACAGGTTTTACTGCTGGTCATACATTTGCTAGTGGGTGCCTATAACACCTGCCAAAATTTGGCTTTAGGTATTCAAGCAAGTTTTAGTTATAGAATCCAAACTATGCTACTTGACTTAACTATTGTCTCGAAATGTAAATTTTGGAGTCTTCCTCCCATATTGAAATATATCATTCTAAAATAGCTGAAAGGAAAATGTACGTTTTTTCTGAACCTAAAAGTTCTGTGGTTTATTATTTTCTGTTGAAAGATTTTTTTCCCCAAGGCTGTAACTTTCCAGACTGAAATGTAAACAGTGGAGTACAGCTGCATTGCTACAGTTTAGTAGTGATTTTGCCCTATATTTCAAAGGGATGGTCTGCAGGCATATATAATGTAAAAGGGTTGTATTTCAAATTCAGCTTGTTTCCAACAGATGGTGTGATGAATATTATCAACGTACACACTGGCTGAGGACAGTAGAGAAAATATTAATAATGGAAAAGGAAAGAGAGCAAAATACAAAGAGGCCCTAATTCCGCAAAGCACTTAAGCATGTATTTAAGTCCCAGAGAACTCAAAGCTTGCAGCTGAAGTTAAGAATCTGAATTAGGACTTTGATGTGTATTAAGCTGGTTTTTAAGAACATTATTGCATAAAATGGTTGATTTGATTGTGAATGAAAAATTCAGGAATATGTCTTATCACTAATCTGTCTGCCTGCATACTTTTCTGCATACCATTTATCACTAGATTAACTTAGCACCTTACATACTTGTTAGATCTTGCATACCTAGGGTGCGTCTAGACTGACAAGATTTTGAGCAAAAGCGGCTGCTGTCTACACTGGCCGCTTGAATTTGCGCAAGAGCACTGACTTTGTAACGTACAAAATCAGTGCTTCTTGCGCAAATACTTTCACGCTCCCTCTCAGGAAAAAGCCCTCTTGCGCAAGAATACTTGGGTAAAATGGCAATCAAGGCTTTCTTGCGCAAAATCGTGTCTAGACTGGCCATGGATGCTTTTGCACAAAAGCACTTTTTGCGCAAAAGCATCCGTGCCAATCTAGACAACGCTTTTGCGGAAATACTTTTAATGGAAAAACTTTTCCGTTAAAAGTATTTCCGCAAAATCATGCCAGTCTAGAAGCAGCCCTAGAGTTTAGTAAAGGGGAAACCAGAGGCAGCTAAGCTAAGAACGTAGAAAGTTATCAGAGGCAGTTTTGTAGAATTGGAAAGAAACTGGGTGAAATCCCAGCTATTTTACAATTGATGGGTATTTCACCATTGATTTCAATGGGTAAATTCCTGATCCCATTGAAATCGATGGCAAAAATGACCATGACTTCAACAGAACTGGGATTTAAAATATAGCTAGGATTTCACTTAGCTGGGATTTCACCCAGTTGACTAATACATAGATAACTGGGTAAAATCTCAGCTCTATTTAAAAAATTTCAAACTACACGTAAGGTCTCATCCAACAAGCCCAGGTTACTAGGATCAGGATGTTAACACATTTTTAACACTTCAGTGAGATAAGGAAGTATCATAAGTATCTCCACTTTGTAAGTGAGGAACAGTACAACATAGAGGTGTTTGATCAAGGTGATGCAAAAACAGATTCTATATCTCCTGACTCTCCATCTTGTGTTTTAGCCATGAGAACACCCAGGTTACAATCTGTAGCTGGAAATGGCAATTTCCTTAATTATTTTTCTGGTTTTGTTGCAGATGTATTGTGAGAGATTTATATGTATCCTGAGAATACTTGGAACCACGCTCTTTGGGGTCTCCCTCCTGCTCGGAATCACAGCTGCTTACATTGTTGGCTACCAGTTTATCCAAACAGACAATTACTATTTCTCTTTTGGACTCTATGGTGCTATTTTGGCATCACATCTCATCATCCAAAGCCTATTTGCCTTTTTAGAACACAGGAAAATGAAAAGATCACTTGAGACTCCAATAAAGTTGAACAAAACAGTTGCCCTTTGTATTGCTGCCTATCAAGAGGATCCTGACTACTTAAGAAAATGTTTACTTTCAGTGAAAAGATTGACCTACCCTGGAATTAAAGTTATCATGGTCATTGATGGGAATTCCGAAGATGACCTATACATGATGGACATTTTTAGTGAAATCATGGGCAGGGACAAATCTGTCAATTACATATGGAGGAATAACTTTCACGAGAAGGGTCCAGGTGAGACAGAGGAGTCACATAAAGAGAGTATCCAACATGTAACTCAACTGGTCCTATCCAACAAAAGTATTTGCATCATGCAGAAATGGGGTGGAAAAAGAGAAGTAATGTACACAGCATTCAAAGCACTGGGAAGAAGTGTGGATTATGTACAGGTAGGTATTAAAGCTGCAGGCCTCTGCCAATTCAAACACACCCTTGACATAAAGCGGCTTTTGTATATTTCATGCAACGTGCTTTAGCCCATCCTAGTCCCTTATGAACACAGTGCTCCTTTCAGTCTATTTGAAAACAGCATGACCATTGAAAGCAGATTTTGTAACCCTTTAAAATAGTTAGACTTTCTGTGAGTATGCTAAATCTGTGCACTGCTATTTGAGAAGTCTGAGGCATTTCCTGATGCTTACAGCACTACTCCCTTATCAAAATGGTTACATTTTTTTAAAAAAAGATTGACTTTGTCAACATAAATCAAAGATCTGAGGTAATTTTTCACTCTGGGAGAAGCAGAGCTGGATACCCTGTATACAATCATGCAATAACCAAGAGGGAATATCTTCAGGAATATCTCAAAGCCTTGAAAGGGTCTGTAAAGAGGAGACATTTTTAAGCCTTCAAAGCCTGCTAAGATTATTCAATAAAGGGAACAGAGAGGGAATGAAGTTCTTAAAAATACAGATGAGAAATTCTTCAGCTAAAGCCAGGAGTAGTTTTTGCTTTTATCTTTTTACAGCTGCATTACCTCACTTACCACAACTTGACCTTAAAGTCTGTATGACACAGTTCACTTAGCAACGAATTAGGTAGGGTCTAGTCCCATTTCCAAAGCTGCCCGGACTGATTGCTCTCAAGCTGTCCTTATGTACACATTTTTAGGTCTGATTCTGTGATCCTTTGAAGTTACTTCTAGAAATGGTTCCTATTGCCTCCTGAAAAAAATAACTCTCAGGAGTATGGTTTGCAGTGAGCACTGCTTGCAATGGGTAAACCTGTCAACATCTAGGGTTTGATTTTGAGAAGTTGTGATGATTCTCCAAGCAATTGAGGCTTTTGTTAAGACACTCTCTCTTCTTCCCTGTGAACCTCAAAGTCAGTTGCCATGGGCTTCACCTTTACAAATCCTATATTGATGGTCACCTATTATGGAGCCTCTATGCTGGGTTCTGGAAGGGCCAGTGTTCTAGTTGCTCACACTCTGGGGGTATGTCTACACTTGCGCAGCCTATTTCGGAATAGGGCTGCAAATGTAGGCATTCGGAATTGCAAATCAAGCCCAGGATTTAAATATCAAATTTACAAGCCTGGAATAACTGTCCGCGTCTACACATGGCAGTGAAACAGGCGTTCGAAATAAAACCCTATTTTGGACTACCTGTTAAACCTCATTGCAGGAGGAATAACAGGTAGTTCAAAATAGGGCTTTATTTCGAACTCCCGTTTCACTGCCGTGTGTAGACGTGGGCAGTTATTCCGGGCTTGTAAATTTCAAAAAATGGCACCCAGTCGGGAAGATGCAAATCAAACGCAAGATATTTAAATCCTGGGCTTGATTTGCAATTCCGAATGCCTACATTTGCAGCCCTATTCTAAAATAGGATGACATACCCTGGGCTACTCCAGAATATACTGCATGACAAAGTGGGCAAGATTTGAACACCATGCAATCTGGGACCTTGCAAAGGGAGTACCAGAGGATCTGGATCAGCACTTTGGGGGATCTTCAAAGACCATGGAACTGGAAGGCTGCAGGAAGGAGTTTTTTAGCAGAATATATGTAGGCGAACAGTTGATGGACAGGGCAGAGAATGAATGAATGAACAAATATATACATTGCCTTTTCCCAATCCATCTCAGAAAAATCAAATAGCAATGGTCTTAATCCTCTGTGGTCTCATACCATGTGTAGTGCAACCAGGATGCAAAATGGATATAAATATGCTGCTATTCTAATTTTCAAGCATTTTACATGGGTAAAAATGTCTACACAAGGAGCATAGTGAAGAATCACACCTGCCATAGCCCCTGGTTTGCTGGTCCAGGATCTTCCCATTTCTGCTAAAGAAACAATAGCCAAATGTATTAATAGCCACATGGGAAACAAATATTTAGTAATGGGTATAACTATCCAATGGCTGGAAGTTGAAGCAAAGCAAATTCAAACTGGAAATAAGGGGCACATAGGTGGGAATAATTAACCACTGAAACATTTTCCCAAGGGTTGAGGTTGATTCTCCATCACTGACAATTTTTAAATCTAGAAGATTGCATTTACGAGTAATTTGGGCACAGTTCTGTGGCCTACACTTATACAGGAGAGTGCAATAAATTAAGGATGGGGAACCTTTTTTTGGAAAGGGGGCTGCTGACCCACAGAACGCCTCATATTCCTCTCACAGCAAAGCCTAGGGAGCCCACGGCTAGTAGATTTTGTGTGTTCCAGCCATGTGGTAGGGTAGTGGGGAGCTGGAGCACTAGCACAGACTTTTCAATGCTGGTGGGGAGCCCTGAGCTTTGGGGGCCAGATCCAGGCAAGCGGGCCCCCCGAGCCTGAGGTTTCCCACCCCTGCATTAGATTATCACAGCAGTTCCTTTTGGCTTTGGAATTTATGAATAAAGTGTCTACCCACAAAGATGCTGCCAGTCTTTGCTAGGTCTAGTCAGCACCTGTCCAGTGGTAGCACCTGACTGACTCCAAGATAGGCATTGACTCAAATGACCAGTGTCTTAGAAACTTCAGAGCCAGTGATGAAGTCAACTAAGGTCACATCTCCACTACAAATGCAATTATGCAGTGGACTTGGTCTTGCTTCCCAAAATGCAGTGAAAGCATAGCTCTGTTTTGCAAATGAAGGCAAGATTTTCAATAGTGGCTCCTAGACTCTGGGTGCCTCAGTTTTAGGGAGACAAACTTAAGGCATTTTAGAAAGGTCTGATTTTCAGAGAGCATTTGAGCATCTTCTGAAAATCAGGTCCTGTCTTCAAGTGGGGTACAAAAAAACAAGCCATCCTGAGTGTCTCATAAATTTCTGTGCCAATATCTCCTGTTTTGGTGTCCTACTGCTTTTCGCCTTTCCTTTTTTATATAAAAATACAGGTTGAACCTCTGTAATATGGACTTCCCTAGTCCTGGAACACCCCACCCCTGTTCCGCCATCAGCCACCCCAGGGCTGGAGTACTCACAGGGAAAAACTGGTAGGCTGGAGCAATGACTAGGGAAAAGCAGAGTGCGAGCACCCTGGGGTCTGGTGGCCAGGAGTGGAGCCCCAGTACTCTGGGGGCCAGCAACTGGGAACAGAGCCCCAGAATCTTAGGGGCAGGGCCAGCCCACATTTTGGCATGTGAGGTGGGGACCTCAAATGATGCCCCCATGCCACTTTTTCTCCTGCCTGCCTGTTACGTCTCTTGTGCCCTCCTTCCTCCAGCACAGCACTCCACTATCTCTGTGCATCTAGAGCAGAGAGAATCCATATGCACCAGCAGCAGACACAATTTTCTACACTCTGGGTCCTAGTGGCACCCCCCAGACTGGAACCTGAGGCGACCACCTCAGTTTGCCTCATAGTAAAGCCAGCCCTGCTCTGGGGCCAGCATTTACCTCCCTATGTCCAGCAAATTTCCTGGTTTGGGGCCAATCATATCCTAAGGATGCTGCAGCAGGGGGATTCAACCTGTACTGGAGACAATATCAAATAGTTTCCATATCAAATGTCTATGTGTAATGCACCATGCAAGTAGATTGAAGTGAATTTGTCCTATAATCCACAGAACATACTTTCACATGAATTGTTAACCCTTTTCTGAGTGATCTTCCCAGATGATCTTATGAGCATAAGAAACATGCTTTCCTATGTCAAAGCTCAGCAAAGAAACTGCAGACCACCCATAAGTTTTCTTCCAATTCATATGGTTCTTAGTGCACTCTCTCTACTTTCTTGTTCGGATTAGTTGATCCAGTGTCCCAATATACAAAATATAAAAAATATGGAAAATGAAAGTCTTTGTGATGTTACCACAGCCAAATACTCTGGATGACACCAATGCTTTTAACAGAAGTAACAATGCAAATTCCAAACAGATTTTATTACATTTACTATAATAAGTGAACTGAGTCACTATATTCACTTTTATTTTTTTTTCTTGTCTAGTTAACTCTCTAACTTTTTTTTCTTTGTGTTACTTATAGGTTTGTGATTCAGATACAATGCTTGATCCAGCCTCGTCGGTGGAGATGGTAAAGGTTTTAGAAGAAGATCCAATGGTTGGCGGAGTTGGGGGTGATGTACAGGTGGATATTGTGAACTTCAGATTAACTGAGCCACTTTAGCAGTAAATATTTCTAAAACTAAAATTATCTCCAGACTGGAATTAACCCAAAGAGTTAGGGGTTTTTTTTTAGCAATATTATAGACTCCTGTTTATTACAAGACTGGCTATCTTATTCATAACTATTGTGGTATCTAAACACCTTACAGACTTTAATGTTTAGCTTCCCAACACCTCTGGGAGGTGGAGGAATGCTAATATACCCATTTCACAGATGGGGACCTGAGGCAAATGCCCAGATCCTCATAGTATTTTAAATGATTTCAATAGGAGTTAAATGCCTTTGAGGATCTGGGCCTAAGGGCTTGTCTCCACTACACAGTAGACTGACGTTTCAGCAATTGATTCACTGGCGGGCTAGTTATAGCTTCTGCTTAGGCGCAGTAAATTGACCTTGGAGCACTCTTACCATTGACTTTGGTACTCCACCAGGATGGGAAGAGTAGGCAGAGTTGACAGGAGAGCATCAGTGGAAGACATTGGGGCTATGTCTAGACTACAAAGAAAAGTCAGAAAAAGATACGCAAATTGCAAATGGCACGTCTACACGGCACCAAATTTCAGAAAAACCTGCTCTTTTGAGCCATCCCTTCTTTGTAAAATGAGGTTTACAGAGATGGCGAAAGAACACATCCACTTTTTTGAAAGTGTTCCTTAGATGCAGCATTGCTTTTCCGAAAGTGCTGTAGTCTAGACGTAGCCTGTGATAAATAGTTCTTAGTAAGTCAACTTCAGCAATGCTATTCATGTAGGTGAAATTTTGTATTTTCGGGTGCATCTACATAGCAGTTATTTCGGAATAACGGCTATGATTTCAAAATAACAATGCAAGCATCTACTCAGCAATTCTGGTTTTTTTAAATAAATTCAAAATAAAAGATGGCTTATTCTGACTTAGGTATGGAATTATACCTATTCCAAAATAGCTATTTTGAAATAGCTGTAGTGTGTATGCTCCACTGCTGCCATTTTGAAATAACTCCTCCCTAGGAGTGCCATACAAACTATACCCCTAGATTGATGCAGGGAGGGATGTAGTAAAGACTAGGCCCAAAAGATTTGCCCAAAGTTACAAGGAAGTCTGCGGTAAAATAGGGAGCTGAACCTGGCTCTCCTGGCTGTTACATTAGCACTGGAAACAACAGGGTACCCTTTGTCTCCATAGTAATAGAGATGTAGCCGTGTTAATCTAGTCTAGCTGAAACAAAAGACAGGACTATGCAGTCATTACTTTACCATTTCCAGCTTAATGAAACAAAGTATTTTTTGAAATCCCATACATTATTCACTGTTTGCTGTTTTACTTCTGTATTTCTCTGAGCTAGCTAGGACAGTGAACATCAGTGCATCAGTTTCACTTTTGTTTCTAGTTACATTCCGTAACATTTTCATAAGACGTAAGAATAGCCATACTGACTCAGACAAATGTTCCAGCTAGACAAGTATCTTGTCTCCCAATAGTGGCCAGTGCCAGGTGCTGCAGAGGGAGTGAACCGAATATGGCAATTTATCAAGTGTTCTATCCCCTGTCAATCCAGTCCTAGCTTCAGAATGTCAGAAGTTTAGAGACATTCAGAGCATGGGATGAGTCTCTGACCATTTTGGCTAATAGCTATTGATAGACCTATCTTCCAGGAACTTAACTAATTCTTTTTGATCCCAGTTATACTTTTGGACCTCACAACATCCACTGGCAGTGCCGTCGATTGTGCGTTGTGAAGAAGTACTTACTAGCGTTTGTTGTAAACCTGCCGCCTATTAATTTCAGCATGTGACTACTAGTTCTCGTGTTGTGTGAAGGGATAAATAACACTTCCTTCTTCACTTTCTCCATACAATCTATAATTTTAGAGAGCTTTATCATGTATTTTCTTAGGGTGCCTCTATACTGCACCCTTAGCTCAAAATAAGCTACGCAATTTGAGCTATGCAAATTGCATAACTTCAAGTGTATTTCAAAATAGCTTATTTTGAAATTTGGTGCTATCTACACCGTGTCAAATTTCAAAATAGAGCACTATTCTGAAATGCACACTGTCAAGACATGGGAAATACTATTTGGGCTACCGGAAGTACCCTGAAATAGCACCACTGTCTAGACACACCCTTAGACATTTCTTTCTAAACTGAACAGTCCCAGGCTTTTTAGTCTGACCTCATGTGGCAGCTATTTACTGTCTTCTTAGCTGTCCCTTTCCTAATGCTTCCCAACATTTCGTTTGCTTTCTTGACTGCTGCTGCCCATTGAGCAGATGTTTTCAGAGAACTATCCAGGAAGACTCCCTATCTTTCATGAGTGGTAACAGCTAATTTAGACCCCATCATTTGGAATGGATAGTAGGACTTATGTTTTCCAGTGTGCATTACTCTGTATTTATCAACATTGAATTTAATCTGCCATTTTGTTGCCCAGGTACCCAGTTTTGTGGCATCCCTTTGTAATTCTTTAACTTTGGACTTAACTTTGAATAATTTTATATTGGCTGCAAACTTTGCAACCTCACTTTACCTTTTTTTCCCAGATCATTCATGAGTATGTTGAACAGCACTTGTTCCTGTACATGTCTATTGTGAAGACTGACAAGTTATTTCTCCCCTTTGTTTCTTACCTTTTAACCAGTTCCTGATCTATGGTCTTTTAACCAATTACTGGCCTATGAGAGGGCTTTGACAGCCCACTTTTGCTTAAGAGCTGTTTGTGAGGGACCTTGAAACGCTTTCTGAAAGATCATGTACACTTATTCCATTGAATCAATTTGCTCCGTGTTTGTTAATCCCTCAAAGAATTCTAAATAGATCGGTGGGGCATGATTTCCCTTTGTTCAATCAGTTTGCCTTGTACTGAAGTTAGTCTTTCTGGCTTGTAATTGCTAGGATTACCTCCAGAGTCTTTTTTAAAGATGTTGTTACATTAGCTACCTTCTAGTCCTCTGATACAGAAGCTGATTTCAGTACATTACATCCCACATGTCCATGTTTTGAGTTCCTTCAAAACGCTTGGGTGACTACTCTCAAGTCCTGGTGACTTTTTAATGTTACCAGTTTGTTCCAAAACCACTTCCCTTGACACTTCAAACTGGGACAGTTCCTCAGGTCTGCAGTGTTCCCTCACAGCTTCCCAGGTGATGAATCTGCCCCGCACAATCAGCCAGTTAGTGCATGGCTTAAAAGCCCTGAGCCTCTGACTGAGCAGGGCTGATAATCACCTGTGAAGCCCTGCTACTGCACCACTAGAGGAACACTGCTTGGGTGTGGCAGTTGCCCTCATATCCTCTGCAGTGAGGACTGATACAAAGAATTAATTTAGTGTTTCTGTAACAAATCTTGTCTTCCTTGAGTGCTCCTTCAGTGCTTCAATCATCAAGTGGTCCCAACAACTGTCTGGAAGACATCCTGCCTCTGATTAATGTTTTTGTGTCTTTATTACTAGTTGTTCTTCAAATTCTTTTTTTTTTGCCAGACTCATTACACTTTTAAACTTGATTTACCAAACTGTTTCAATTCCTTTCTATTTTTGTCAACTGGATTTGACTTCCAATTTTAAAAGGTTGTCTTTTTGGTTGCTATCTGCCACTTTACATTGTAGTTCAGCCATTGGGACTTTTGGTCCTCTTACTGTATTGTTGTATTTGAGGTACACAAATGAGTGTCTCTTAGGATATTTTTAAACAGCTTCCATGCAGCTTTCAGGCATTTTACCCTTTTGACTGTTGCTTTTAATGTTCATTTCGCTAGCCTCCTTATTGTGCCATTGCACTTTCTGTAGTTAAATACTATGGTGATAGGTTTCTTTGGTATTTCCTTCCCTACAAGATGTTTTAAAAAATTAATTATATTATAGTTGCTATTACCAAGCAATTCAGCTATATTTATCTCTTGGACTAGATTCTGTGTGCCATTTAGAACAAATTGAGAATGGCCTCCAATCTTGTGTGTTCCAGGCTTAGCTACTCTAGGGAGTAGTCATTAATGGTACCTTGAAATTTTATCTTTGCATCCCATCCTGAGGTCCCTCCTTCCCGGTCAAAATGGAGATAGTTGAAATCTCCCACTATTAAAAGTTCTGGTTTTCTATCCGAGGCAGTAAGGGTCGGAGAGAGAAACAGGAGCTTCTGCTTGGGGGAGCTGGCTTAAAAGCCTGCTCTCCCCATCACCATCTCCACTGTACCACCGACCTTCTTCTTCCCCTTAGCGCTGCTACCTGGCAGGGGAGGCTGCCATGAAGTAGACTCTGCCCCCACTGGACCAAGGGTACAGCTACACTGTGTTTTATTTTTTGGAAGAGGTATGCAAATAGCGCTCACATTTGCATACCTTCTTCCATTTTTCCCCCTGGAAAGCTTTTTTACCATTTGGCCCCGTCTACAGAGGACCAGATGTCGGAAACTCCCCCTCTTTTGAAAGCCCCCTTCTTCCTCGTAAAATGAGGTTTACAGGGGCTTTCAAAAGAGGGTTTTTTAAAATGCAGAGGCACAGCAGTCCCGGCTCTGTCCTGGCTCACATTAGTCTGGGACCTCCCTCTACTGCACCTCTGCAGTTTAAATCTAGTAAGAGCCGGCTCTTACTACATTTAAACTGCAGAGCCGCAGTGGGGGGTAGCTCCTGGACTAGCACTAGACGGGACAGAGCACCTTCCCTCAAATTGTGCCAACTACATAAGTCATTTACCCACCTCTTAACGTCCCTACTTACTACTTTCCCCTCTCCACTCAGTACTTTTAATATGGGTTGAAGAAGAAACATTTTTACTCTTGAGGCCCATGGCCTGGAAGTTAGGCACCTTTCAGGATCTGGGCCTGAGTCCCTGTCTAAGCTTGCGTTCCACATCCCCGGCTTCTGCACTCTGCTCAGAACAAATCAGGCATTGCCCTTATCCTGAGCGTGAGAGTTGAGGAGGTGGGAGACATATGAGGTCAGAGTGGGAGGTTGAATGGTTCCCAAGCAGCCACCATGGAAAAAGGCGGCTCTTCTGCTCTGTTGCACTCAGCAAAAACTGAGTAAAACGGGGAGCCTGGCCCCATGAATCTTTCTGGTCTGCTAAGTGGGGATGGGCAGAAAGAAACTGAGTCAGTACATGGGATGGAAAGGAAGCTCAATGAATCAAGAGGGTGATTCTTTGTGGGAGTGAGGGGAAGGTTCATGTTATTTTTGGATAAAAGGGAGAGAAGTTTTGGTGGAGGAGGATGCTATTTAATGTTTGTTTTGACTTCCCTAGCAATGTGTTTGTGAATAGGCATGGCTAGGACTCTTAATCATTCTTCAGAGAGGTAACAGTCTGCTTCAGCAAAAAAGTTGTTGTTTTAACAGTCACTGTAAGTGAGGAAACATGGCTTCTGGAAGAGACCGTTCATCCTGGTGTAGGAACTCAGGGCTTGTCTAGACTACATTCCTCTGTCGAAAGAGGAACGTAAATGAGCCCGATCGAAAATGCAAATGAAGCGGAGATTTAAATATCCCATGCTTCATTTGCATATTCACATCCAATCGCAGTTTCGAAAAAGGGTTTTTCTAAAGTGAAACTGCAGTCTAGATGGGGTTCTTTTGGAAAAAAACAACCTTTTTTTGCAAGAACCCATACTCCTAATTTTTTCAGGAGTACAGGTTCTTTAGAAAAAGGGTTTTTTTATCCCCAAAAGAACCCCATCTAGACTGCAGTTTCACTTTCAAAAAACAGTGATTGGGACACAAATATGCAAATGAAGCACGGGATATTGAGATTTCAATCGGGTTCATTTACATTCCTCTTTCAACAGAGGAATGTAGTCTAGACGAGCCCTGATAGTCTAATCCTTGGTTAAATGTGCTGGAGTTTTAATAACTCTTTGAATTCATTGTCTAATATTTTGGTTAGTATCATTCATGTCATGGGAGCTAGTTTTTGACCCAGAAATATTTGTGTTTCTGAAAAGCTAATTTTTAAATTTCCTTTTACTTGCAGATTTTGAACAAGTATGATTCCTGGATCTCCTTTCTCAGCAGCGTGAGATACTGGATGGCATTTAATATAGAAAGAGCCTGCCAGTCCTACTTTGGCTGTGTACAGTGCATCAGTGGACCTTTGGGAATGTACAGGAACTCCTTACTGCATGAATTTGTGGAAGATTGGTACAATCAAGAATTTATGGGCTCCCAGTGTAGTTTTGGAGATGACAGACATCTTACTAACCGAGTACTGAGTCTGGGTTATGCAACAAAGTATACAGCTAGATCCAAGTGCCTTACTGAAACACCTATAGAATACCTAAGGTGGTTGAATCAGCAGACCCGTTGGAGTAAATCATACTTTAGAGAGTGGCTTTATAATGCAATGTGGTTCCACAAGCATCATTTGTGGATGACTTATGAAGCTGTAATCACTGGATTCTTTCCTTTCTTCCTCATTGCCACAGTCATTCAGCTTTTCTACCGGGGGAAAATCTGGAACATCCTCCTTTTCTTGTTGACAGTTCAGTTAGTGGGCCTTGTAAAGTCTTCCTTTGCCAGCTGCCTTAGGGGGAACATTGTCATGGTGTTCATGTCGCTCTACTCAGTATTGTACATGTCAAGTTTACTTCCAGCGAAGATGTTTGCAATAGCCACAATAAACAAAGCAGGATGGGGCACATCAGGAAGAAAAACCATTGTCGTCAATTTCATTGGACTTATTCCAGTATCTGTTTGGTTTACAATCCTTCTAGGCGGTGTGATTTTCACTATATACAAGGAATCAAAAAAGCCATTTTCAGATTCAAAACAGACAGTTCTCATCATTGGTACAGTACTCTATGGATGCTACTGGGTTATGCTTTTGACTTTGTATGTGGTTCTTATCACCAAATGTGGCAGGCGGAAGAAAGAGCAACAGTACGATATGGTGCTTGATGTATGATGTTTCTGCAGAATGTTACACAGAAAATTTTAAAGCAACCCAACAACTTGATAGTATTTGTTGCATCGAATTATTGTCACCATGAGAAATGGATCACTGCTGCTGAGACTTGAAACATTCGTGTTTCTATGGGCTCATTTACCTCCTGCCAAAGGAAAAAAACCACCATTTTTTCTGAGGGGGGAAGGGAAAGATTCAACCTGTTCACAGGAAAATGGGAGGATTTCTTTGTGCACTTTTTTCTATTGTGCATATGCCTGACAGTGTTACGTTCTATATACCTCACTAGTCATGCTTATGTGGGTGGACAGGAAGGAAAGGAGTTTAGTGAATCAAACAAAGGATCTTGCAACCTAATTTATGAACTTTTTTATAGTTTTGTTTTATAGGAAGGGTCTTTTTGTTAGGCTGCCAAATGTAATTCCAAAGAGGCCATTGGCTGAGCTGTATTTTTATATTGTCTTATTTGTGTATATTTTTACACAACTTTTTTTTTAAATTTTGCATATTTTATATATTACTTATCTGCCAAAAAACACCTCCAACACTTTGCTCTCTATCCTTTTAAATACACTTTGAAAGAATTCACACTCCCTCCCCACAAAAAGCTGCCCACAATGTGAAAACTTGTTAATATTGATATTGTTCACAAAAATAATAAAGTGTCTCTCTACATTTTTTAAAATTGCTGAATGGTTATTTCTGTGAAAAGTATTTAAACTGTTCTCTTGAACTTTTGACTTAAATTGTATTTGAAAAGGCCAACATTGTTGTCAGTTTTTTAATACAAACATATTTGTATGCACCAAAAGGCCAAAGGGTACATATGTGCAATTTTATGGGAAGACATAAGTGGGCACCCTTATTCTCTTAAGAGAACACTACTCTCTGCATACTGCCTTCGGTATAAAACTGTTCTTGATACAATTGAAATTAATGGTGAAACTCCCATTGGTTTGGACTGCAGAAGGATTTGACTTACAGGTTTGGATCTTAGGAATCACTGAGCACCCACAACTACCACGAACATTTGTAGATGCTCAGCGCTGCTTAGGATCAGCCAGAGAATGCACATTTTCTAGGATAAAAAGTATATGCATTGAATGCCAAAATGGCCAAAAATGTCAAAATCTGGGTGCCTAAAATAAGACTTGTACACTGACATCCATATATCTTTCTTTTAAAGGCCAGAAGAAACCACCAGATCATCTACTCTGACTTCCTGTATAGCACAATCCGTACAATTTCATTCAGTTAGTTACCCCTGTTCTGACCCCAATGACATGTGTCAGATTAGTGCATATTTTCCAGAAAGATCTCTGGTCTACATTTCAAGAGATGGAGAATCTCTGACCTAAATATAATTTTAGGACACTGGATTTCAAAGCTTTGGAAAAGTAATTTTTAGAACTAAATTCTACCATCCTGAACCAGGACTGTAGCCAAATGAATGCAGCATTGAGCCTTAATGTACTATATAAAGAATGATAGAACATTGGCTGCATACAAATATATGTCCTTTTGGATTCTGGCATAAAAAGGACTGTGGTAAAGCAGAAACCATCATGTGATATTTTTGCAACCTCGTAGCATTTTCACCTTTCTATGCAGATGTGAATATTTTCTGCTGTAGAATGAATGGCGCGCGCACACAGCCTTATTTGTCTGATGTTAAGGTACATGGTTCCTTGAATGTCATACTAATATGTTCATGATTGAAGAGTTGATCTTTGTTGGTTACAAAATAGAACAAGCAGTATTAAAAACAAGCAAAAGAAACATTTTAAAAAAACTTGAGTTTGCCTTTTAACTATTTATGTTGTAAGTTAAAGCTTGAGTAACATTCAAATGTCAAATAAATCCTCTCATTCTATAAGAGACTGAATTAATTGCCTGTATTTATTCTAGCAATTATTCAACATACTTCCAGTATAGGTGGTATAGTATAATTGTTACTTTCATAAATAAAATATTTTTGATAAGATCATGACTAATTTATGTTGTTTTTTATAGTGTTTTTGCAGGTATGTCCTGTTACATAATAGTAGCAAATTTACCTGACTTCCAGGTTGAAATTTGACATGTAAATAAAGCAGCTCACTTTTGGTAATTTCAAACCTTGAAGAGCGCAAGATTTGTCCTGCTGCTTAAGGTACTGGAAAGGAAACAACAGACATGAATTTGATTGCTTGTATTAGGATAGCATCTAGGACCATAATTCTTGATTAGGTCCCCATTGTTCTAGGTACAATTGATGGGAGCAGTGACAGTGCAGGTAGAATACTGAACTAGAATTTAGGAAAATATCACTGACCTTATGATCTGAGAAACAAATGGTCTGGTAGAAAGTCACTTGGCCTCTTACTGCCTCAGTTTCTCTGAAAAGACAGGACTATGCATCACTTTAAAGACTTAACAAGATGGTTTATTAGGTGATGAGCTTTCGATCAAATTGTGGAAGAAAATTGGCATGACCATATATACCAAAGGGATATAATCAAAAAAAGTGAACACATATAAAATTGACAAATCAGATTTTAGAACAGAGGGTGGAGAGCATGAGGGGGAGAGGTTAGTGTCTGAGATAACATTAGGGGTGATAATTGGTGATAATTGGGGAAGCTATCTTTGTAATGGGTAAGGTAGTTATGGGTAAGGTCTCTGGGTATGTCTAAACTACATCCCTTATTAGACACTTTGAAACTGCAAATTAAGCTGGGATTTAAATTTCCCACACTTCATTTGCATAATGGCAGCCACGGTTTTTTTCAAAAAGGGGTTTTTCGAAAGAGAAACTGCCGTTTAGACGGATATCTATAGAAAATAAAACCCTTTTTCGAAAGATCCTATACTCATTTTTTGAAGAGTACAGGATCTTTCGAAAAAGTATTTTCGAAAGAACAGCGTCTAGACTGTGGTTTTACTTTTGAAAGAGCGCTTTTTTGAAAGCGTGCCATGACATGATTATGCAAATGAAGCACGGGCAATTCAAATCCTGGCTTCATTTGCAATTTCGAAGTGCCTAATTTACATACCTCTTGTCGAAAGAGGGATGTAATGTAGACACCCCCTAGATGAGGAAAGTCCTATGATATTTCCCTCTTTAGATGATTTGAGATTTACAGATGAGCAATACTATAGAATAGCTAGTTATTAGGTACTCCACAGACAAGTATTAAAGATTGCTTTCTAGGACAGGTACTCATTCTTATGCTGGCACTCATGTCTGTAATCTATTCCAAAATCTACTCTTGTGTGACCTTGGGCAGTTGTACCTTTCAGAGCTCTGGGAAGAGCTGGAGCTTACCACCTTTGCAAATCAGGGTGCACCTCTCTGTGCCTCAGTTTCCCCATCATAACAGGAAAGTTACAAGACAATTTAATGTTTGAGGTAGAACTGATCAAAAAATTATTTAAAGATCTTTTGAAAATGTTCATGGAAAATTATAATTTTCAACTGCTATTAGGACCAGAAATGAAGTTTTCTGTAAAAATGATTGGGTATCGGCAAAAGTCAGTTGTCCTGACACCCATAATTCTTTTTTACCAAAAATATGTTTGAAAACCAAATACATCCTAGTTTCAGTTTTTCAGGCAAAATTTATATTTCTATGGAACACTGCAGTTAAAACAAGTTTTTGGTTTTAAATTGCTTGTGAAAAAATTGAATTTTTACCAGCTCTGTTGTGAGATATCTAGATTCTATGAATTCCATTTAAAAAAACCCTTCTGTACAATACAATTAAAGTCTCTTGAAATCACATGGACTGGCTAGACAGATACAGATCATGTATATATAGTATAAACTAGTCTGTCCTGTCCAATCTATTGTGCCTACAAGCCATTCCCAGAGCTGAACCCAGTTCGCTCTAGAACAAGCATTTGCTTCCATCCCTATGATTCTAAGACCTAGGAGATCTCAGTGGTAACATGGAAGAAGAAGCCTTCATGTTGTAATTGCTGCAGGCCTGTATGCAGGAATTTCTAGGGCGGGTGCTTTCTTTTTTGTAAATGAGGACTGCAAGGGAGTGAACGTACCCTTCATGGCTCCCCCAGGTAAACAGCCTTCCCCGGGCTGGTCAGAGCATAGGGGGATGCGGGGAGCGGGGAGGAGGCTTGGGCAGCATGCTTACTTAGGGGGCAATGGGGAGTGCTTTCACACCCTTTGCACGCCCCCTCTGTATGGGCCTATAGTGCACTTAGTTTTGGCCAGAAATCAGAATTATTTCAGAAGAGAATATCTTATTTAGCACAACTTTCTAAACAAGAAAACAATTGCCAGGCATTTTCTGCTCAAAAGGAGTTCCACTGTTTGAGCTATGGCAAGTCAGCATATTGCAATTTCTTTTAGGATTATCAGTGGAAAGAGCGGGGTGGATAGTTTTCTGGGGGAAACTTGCCCAGTTCCTGCCATATGTGCCATGCATCTGGACCCCAGCATGCTCAGGAGCACTGAATAACTTCAGTGCTGCTAGGCATGAATTCAGGGTGGCAGCTCATTTTCAGCTTTCTGTAGGATTGTGGCCTTTATTTGTTTCCATTAATTTCACTGAGGCTGTGTCTTTTCCGGAAAAACTTGCCAGCTGTCTACACTGGCTGCTTGAATTTCTGCAAAAACACTGACTTCCTACTGTAAGAAATCAGTGCTTTTTGCGGAAATACTATGCTGCTCCTGTTCGGGCAAAAGTCCCTTTTGCGCAAAACTTTTGCGCAAAAGGGCCAGTGTAGACAGCTGAGATTTGTTTTGCGCAAAAGCGCATCTAGATTGGCCACGGACACTTTCACGCAAAAAGTGCTTTTGCGGAAAAGCGTCCGTGCCAATCTAGACGCTCTTTTCCGAAAAATCATGCCAGTCTAGACGTAGCCTGAGTGTGTTCTGGATGGATATGCAGGTCACATTTGCAATATAAGACCCAGTTCTCTTTGTCTTTTCATGGAATGTAGATTTCCGCTGGACTTACTTGAAAGCAGAATTGGAACCATGCCACAGGAATAGATTCTGCTTCCACTGAAATCAATAGCAGTTTTTTCACTAATTTCCACAGGAGCTGGCTTGGGTTCACAGTTTGTATTTAATCACTGGAGCCCTGATCTTGCAAAGTGCCATGTACCTTCACAGAGTGCTAATGCCTTCAGTTTCCATTCATGTCACTAGAAACAGGCTCCTCAGCAACTTGTAAGATTGGGCCGAGCCAGCTCTTGTGGGGAGTAGCACCCTGCATGAAATCATGAGTAACTTCACATCTTGAAATACAGAGATGTTGCATCAGAAAGCCCGCCAATGTGGGAGGGAGCAAAGGGAGCCATTGCCCCGAGACCCGACAATTCAAAAGAGCCCGGGCTTCCCTGGTCACTATGCTGCTACTGCAGGAGCACTGACAGCCTGCGTGGGCCCCTGGGTGAGGTGAGACCCCTGAAGGGGTGGAGTCTTGGGCAGAAGGGGACTCGGGCCCCATGTCCTGAGCACTGCTTAGAGCCCAACACATTGGCCCCCAGGCAGCCCTCAGCACTTAGGCAATGATTTTAAAAGCCGGGGGCTCTGGCTACTGCTGTTGCTGTGGTAGCACTGGGAGGCCCAGGCCCCTTTGAAGCACCAGGCCCCGGGGCAGTTGCTTCCTTTGCCTCCCCCAGTTGGCCCCAGACCCTTTAATTCACTGCCAGAGTGCCTCACAGTGCACTTCGGGTGGCTCTTGGGACTGTGGGGGGCCAATATGATGTGCTCCAGGCAGTGCTAAGAGATGGTTGACTCCAGCCCTGCCCTATCCGGGAGTACGGAGCTGGTTTCCCCTCCCCTGCCTAGCATGGCTGTCAGCTCCCCTGCATCAGGTTAGCTAAATTGGTTCTAAATCACGCTTTTCATTAGGCTAAGGGGATTTCGGGGTGTACCAAATCTAAGGGTTTGTCTATAAACTTTGGTTGCACTTAAAGTGTGATTTTAAACTGATTTCATTAAACCTGTGCAAAAGCTGAATAAACACTAATTTCAAGTTGAATCTTGCAGCAAGATTCACTTCAGTTTAGCTTAAGTTGATTAGGAAAAAGCTAAATCAAAATAAATCCTGATGTATATTAAGGAGCTCTGTCATCTTTTGGCAGTGCTGGTTTTCATGTGTCTACACCTAAATTTGATGTAAACCCAGCCTGACCAAACAAAACCGCTTTCCCAAACTACTCTAGTCCACAGCTAATAAGCACAGCAGAGAAAAAGTTCAGTCAGACCTCTAGATAGTTCTCTGAATGTCCAGAAATCTGTTAGCTGCTTCTAGTCCTCCTAGCTCCAGTCTTTAGCTGACTCCCCACAATTTTTCTCCAAGACCACATGACAGTGGAAAGGAGGCATCAACTGGATTTTAATTTCCCCAGAGTAGAGGAGTCCCCTGAGCCCAGTCCTAGGTCCAGAGAGGTGCACGGGTGAGGGTCAACCTACCTGGCAGCCATTTTACTCTCTCTCTCATCTAGTGATATAAAATCCCAGTTAATCGGTTAAAGCTTACCGTATATTCCGGCGTACAAGACGACCTCTGAAGTTAAAAAACATCCCCCAAAAATCGGGGGTCGTCTTGTACGCCGGATGCCCCGCCGCCGGAGCCCCTCCGCGGCTTTGAAAGCCTCGGGGGAAGCCGGCGGGGAGGCATCCCAGGCGCGCATGGGCTGCCCGCCCGCCGGAGCCCCTCCGCGGCTTTCAAAGCCTCGGGGGAAGCCGGCAGCGGGGCATCCCAGGGGCGCATGACCTCCCGAGGGCATGACCCCCTA